TTCTTAAAGCCTTGATTAGGATTTAAATTGTTAAGTTTCCACCTGCCTTAGATTGTGAATCTAACCAGATAACTCATCCATAATAATAACCACAAAGATCCTCGGAAAGGATTTAATAGCTAGACAAAAATATCAAATCTAGTCTAATTTGCTGACTGTACAGCCACCCATGATAATACAAAGTATTATATATAAAGTTTTGCATAGTTTCATCTTGTATTTGTAAGGAAAAAATCACAGAAAAAAAGAAGACAGACTACAGGTTAGTATTCTCTAAGGAGCAAAATTTCTAGCTGCCATTATCTACTCCGTAGAAACATTTTTTTCATATTTAATATATTAGTATTTTTTGATGCTGAGGAATGCTTAACATCTGGCAGACTCCTATTTGTTTTCTTTTCAGGCACTGATAAAAGAACAGTTTCTTCTCTGCTTACTTCACAATATAGATTGTATCTTGTGGTTCATTCTTTTATGAAAAATTGATTTGTATTTGCAGTTTTTTCTATTTTTGAAACACTGTACAAAGTAAACATTTCAACACACACACACACACACAAACACACACACAAACATACAAACATACACATACCAAAAAACCAAAACATTATTTGCAATAACCAAACCAACCAAAGAAATTAATTTGGTGTCTAAAGTAAATAAAAGGCTGGAGCGGGGGAGGTTTAACTGCAATTGTATTATATCAATTGTTGTTTGAATTTTTTAATGATTACTATATTGGGGAAAGCTGGAGGCATTTTCATACTCTTTTTTAAAGCTTTTTTTTGCAGCTGACCTTTACCTATTTACCTTATACCAATTTATCTTTTTTTAAAAAAATGTTTTATTGATTTTTTTACAATAACAATCCTTTTTGCCTAGTGTAAGTGTGTTGTCTTAGTTCATGTATTTTGAAAAAAGCAATAGTAGTTAATTAACAGTCAGTAATAATTAATTTTTGTAATTCCATAATTAGTATATTAATTAATAATATATTTCCTTGATCTTCCCTTCTTCCAATAGCATTCTCCTTCTTCAGCATTAATCAAATATGACTCTTAATATTTTCAGTACATAAATGGTTAAATATAAACATTTTTTTATGTTTGTACAAATAATATTATGACATTTTTTCTTATCAACTTGTATTGTTTTTATAAAAATCATCTTATTAGTTCATATATTCTATTTTCATAATTCTTTTTTTCATATATTTTGTTGATTTTTTAAAACATAAATCACTTAATAGTTGGTAAACAGTGTGTTTGCTGGGTTTACATTTGTAAAGAAAAAATCATTAACAATTGGTTTCTATAATCCATAATCCACATACTACATTTAGCTGATTTCCCCTTTTCCCCAAAATATCTTCTTTGCAAAACTTGAATTAATACAGTTCTTATATTTTGATAAATAACAGTTACATATATGATTTTTCCCAATATACCTAGAAATAATGATCACATCAATATAATATTTCTTTTCTATCTAATCATTCTGGTTGCCTCATTTTACATCCTGTTACAGTCCTTATTTAAATTTATTTCTTCCATAAAGTTCCAAGTATTCTTGCTAGTTAAGATTTTCTTAATAATTAATTACATTTAAAGATTTAAATCCATTTTTCCCATATAAACCATCTCAACACTTACATTTCTTAAAGAATAGGTTAAAAACAGTAAACAAAAGGAAAAGAGAGCAAGAGTAAAGAAACATAAAAAGTAAAATACTATTTAAAATATATATTCTTCCTAAGCTAATACAAATTCATTCCCAAAATTTCTTATTCTTTTTAACCATATATTTAAAATATTTAATCTTTAAATATTCCATTTAATGTGTCCAATCATCTAATCCACAGGTCGGCAACCTGCGGTTCCGGAGCCACATGCGGCTCTTTGAGCCTTCCCCTGTGGCTCCCAGCAGACAGAGACAGAGACAGAGAGAGGCACTTGCGCTTCCCTGCTTCTCTGTCTCTCTGTCTCTCTCTCTCTCTCTCTCTCTCTCTCTCTCTGTGTGTGTGTGTGTGTGTGTGTGTGTGTAAAAGAGAGCGCACTCACAGTATTCTCCGAGGAGCTGAAAAGCTTACTGGGCGGAGCTCCTTCATTTGCTGCATCTCTTCAGGAAGCAGGAAGGGCAGGAGAGAGCTAGCTAGCCCAGTTATGCTGACTCAGGAATTCTGGGAATTGAAGTCCAGGAGTCATAAAAGAGCCCAGGTTGCCTATCTCTGAGCTTGTTGGAGAACAGCTGGAAGCCAGCTTGCCAGGTGAGCAGAAGATCGGAGAGAGGGAGAGGGGGGGAGAAAGAGAGAGAGAGGGAAGGGGAGAGAGAGAGAGAGGGAGAGAGAGACAGAAAGAGAGAGGGACTCTTTTGATATCTAAAAGGAAGATAACACTGCATATATCCTTTTTTTACCTTTATGAGATGTGTGTGTGTGTGTGTGCGTGTGTGTGTGTGTGTATAAAAGGTAAAAAAGGATATATGCAGTGTTATCTTCCTTTTAGATATCAAAAGGGTTTTGCGGCTTCCAGTGTTTTGTTTTTGGTTGGAAACGGGTTCAAGTGGCTCTTTGAGTGTTTTGGGTTGCCCACCCTGGTCTATATCATCCCCAATTCATTGGATTATATAGGAGTTACTATAAAATAATATTTTGTCATTTTTTCAAATGTGTTTAAATTCTTACTATTATATATATTAGGTTATGTTCATTTTGAATGAATTTCAGTATTAAGACTGCAAATTTAAGCACATTTACTAAATGACTAAAACATAAATGAACACAGTGGGTTTTATTTATTTTTCTTTATCAGAGTTATCTCTGCATTAAACCTTAATAGATCTTAAGGTTGCATTTTAAGAGATATGAATATTAATTAACGCTAATATTTCTCCAATAGCCATAGTTGAATAAAAATAGTTGTTCATAATTATTATGTACAAGATTTCTTGATTGCTGTTTTATAGCACCTGTAACTAATTTACTGTCAATATTCTGATCATTATTGAATCCATTCCATTTACCAATATTATCTTTAAAAATCATATCATACACAATTTTATTTCTAAGAGACAATCAACAGAGGAAATATAAAATCTGGTTTCAGTTACGATGTTAAAATGGAGTGTTTGAAGAAAATAAATCAAACACTGCTTCAGAAAACCCATTAAGGATATGCTAACTACTTTCAACATTGTTTATAAAACAATGTTGAAGGATTTCTTATCATGACTGCCTTTATAGTATGCTACATTTCATTTGATTGGTTTTATATAATGCATAGTCCATTTATTATATTCAGCAGAAAGGTTTCTTGACTGAGCCCATTGTATTCTCTTCATTATACTAACTTCAAGTAAAAAGGAAGAAGAAAGCAGGTATTTCTGTACATGAACAAGAAAAACAAAAGAAAAAAGAAACTGAACAGATAAAAAATGAGTAGGATAAGTGAAAGCTTTATAAATGAAAGCAGATGTATAAAATTACAAGCTGTCAGATCAGCAGCAGAAATGAAGATGATAAAGTGCCTCCCACTATCAATTATAATTATTCGTTTTGCCCTGTCCTGCAACTTGTCCTCATAAACCTCTTCAGATAATGATGGAAAGGCACCAATTGATGACTCACATTGAAGAAGAGAGGGACAGAATCATTCTCCTAAATGTCCAGTTCTGTTAAACAGCCATTATATTTCTATGGTTTTCATTTAGTTACAGTGATTTTCCCATGTTCTCCAAAAAGATTTCTCTCTAAGATTTTTAATTAATAAAAAGTATTGTTTATATAACTACCTTTTAAAAAAACAATTGAAGTTATTCCAAAAATATGTTTACAAAATAATACTACCTATGTATGATTTGTAGGACAAATAATTTTAGAATAATAATTTTAAGCTGCTTAGACAGATATAAGTCAAAATTTAGGCTGCACTATAGAATTAAAGTAGCTTATATAACATGTAAGCAGGTACCTAAAGATACGCATTTAATTTTACTTAAAATTTTGTTTAATTTTCCTACCATGCCAGATAAACACAGTCAAATGGCAATTTGGCTTGCTTTCTAGAACTAGAAATCTAACAAAATTTAATATTAAGAGAGTTGTGGATGATATTCTGTGTTCTTTATGAATAGAAAGAAATCAGGTTTGTTCTCAATTGTTTGGAAAGTAAATGTATTGAAAGAAAGTTATGCTATAGTATTTGATGATATTATTATTAAGTTGGTCCAGTTTGGAATGAATTGAAATCAAGAGATTAATAATGCTGAGTCCTAGTTTTGTTAATTGTATTGTATATTTAGAACATATCTAGAATACTTTAACACATTGGATGTGTTTAATTAGAATTATTTGTTCTGTATTAAAATGTTTAATTTCCAATTTCAAGTCATAATTGGAAAAGGATAAATTGGCATTGGCTTTATTTCAGCAGAATTATCATAACTTTTATATTTATTTTATCTCCAAATAAGTATAGTTTAAAATATCACCACCGCTATCCCAAAATGATAAAGCGTTCTGATATTATCAATTCTCTTCCTCCTTCTCCTTTTCCTCCTCCTCCTCCTCCTCCTCCTCCTTCAAATTACTTAATATTTTAATCATGAGGATGATGAAATATAACCTGTCTTTTCTTTATTTGATGAACAAAATATTTATAAATAATTTAAAATTTTATTTATCTGTCTCTGGACCTATTCTGCTAGAGCAATGTTTGCCTTCACCCTCTGCCTGCATGCCAGAGGTTCTAGATTCAGCTGTCTCTTTACTGTCTGGGAAAAAGCCCTTTCCTACTACATTTTGGGATGCATTCCACCAAATATTTTTTCCTTTCTGTACGTATCAGTTTTACCCTACCCCTGGTTTTTCTCTCTTCTCTTTTTTTCTGAGTTTATCCTTTTTTTCACTTCTGCCTCATAAGGAAATGCCAATTAACTCTTGACTATGTTTATAGTCAAACAACTACCAGCCATTTCATTACAGTATTTTTTTTTTCTTGTAGTGATATCAAGTAATTATCAGACTTGCTTGGGCCTTCTGATGCATTATCCACCTATCGGAGATGTTCATTCATTAATCTTGAAAGCCCTTTTTCTCAGAGATCCAAAGGTAAGTTACACTAAATTTTGTCAATTGCCAAATTTTAAAATCACTAATGGAACACCCCAAATAGTATTAAACAAGTGAAATTGAGAGCAAGAAAGTGGAGTGAAGTGTTGAGTGTAGAACAAAGCAGTCCAATTCAAAAAGATCTATCAAAAGACCTTATATCTCAAAGTTTGGATGATAATTCAGGATCTATCACAGCACACTGCATTATATGGGCCACTTGGTACAAATCTGGTTCACTTTTCATTCATACAAACCATTTTTAGTTGGAAACCTAATGATTGTTTTCAGATTCATACGTGATTGAAATTACTGAGAAGTCATTCATTTCACTATAATATTCTCTGAGCATAACGGAATGTGAACCAAATACATAATATTTAAAAAGTTATATTTATGTTTTTGACAAATACAGGTAGTTCTTGACTTACAACAGTTTGTTTAGTGATCATTCAAAGATATAATGGCACTAATCTTAAGTGACTGGGGACCATTTTTCATACTTCTGACCACTGCAGCATCCCCATGGCCATGTGATCAAAATTCAAACACTTGGCAACAGACTCATATTTATGATGGTTGTTTCCTGGCATCATGTGATCGCCTTTTGTGACTTTCAGACAAGTAAAGTCAATGGGGAAGCCAGATTCACTTAACAACTGTGGTGATTCACTTAATAATTGTGGCAAGAAAAATCATAATTTGTAGCAAAATTCACTTAACAGATATCTTGCTTAGAAACAGAAATTTTGGGTTCAATTGTGGTCGTAATTCGATTACCTGTAACATGTTTTATGCCTATAAAGGCATAAAATACATGAAAGATATGTGTGTGTTTTACAAATTGCAGTTTTTTTCCTAATGGAAGCACAAATTAAATTAATTGTAAACACATATTAAAGTTTGTGATAACTATTAAAGTTGTATCTATTTATTTATATAATATATTTGTATTAGAGGCTCTAGCAGTATGCAATATAATGTAAGTAAAACAAAATATAAAAATTAACATTAAAATCCAGGTATATGGAATGAAATGCAGTTTGGGCATCAAATATCCTTACCTTTTTAAAAGCAATTTGCAGTTGTGATTGTATTTCTAGAGAGTCATCTTTGCAATCTGAAATCTTAATGCACAATTCTTAGTTAATGCTTTCTTGAAAAATTTCTTTAAATAGGCTCAATAGCTGGGTATGACAAATTAATGTTAATTTTTCCAACCTCCTTCATGTGTGTAATGTTTGTTTTAATGCTAAACAAGCTGTCTTATTACTCACACTTTAAGCATCTAAGAATGCATCTTGAATCTATGAAATTTAAAGCAGAAAATAATGTACTTTTAAAATTGCATGTTCTTCAGTAGCAGGAAAAATATAATCGTGTATGTTCTGGTAAATAGACAGTAATAAAAAATGGTCAGGAAAATGTTACGTGAAACAATGTTATTTTTCTGTATTTAAAAAATATGGAAGACACCTGTTTCTGTCTTTAAAAAAGACAGATTTTCCAAATGGCTGTTTGGTTTTTAAAAAGAGCCATTACAGGCAGAGCTGTGGTGCCTATAATTTAAAATGGGATAGTCAGAATAACACCCACATGTACTAGGCATTTTTCTTAGTAGCTAGAAAATTCTGTGCCTCTCTTAATTTTTTATAGCATCAGACTTGATTTCAAAAATCTTCATTCCACAAAGCATCTTTAAAAAATAAACTACACAAAGAAAATGGAAATGTTTCAGAAAAGGACAGCAGGAATAATCAGGGGATTAAAATCTTGAGAAAAGAATTTTGTAGTATTCTTCAAATACCTGACCTGAGAAGAAATCTTATGGAATGAGGTTAAAATATCTCTTGTTCTGAAATACAGGAACAAAATAATTAATTTAAATTACAGGAAGGCAGATTCTAATTGAAAATTACGGAAAAAGATCTTAATACTGAGTGCATTGCAACAATGGCAACAATTATGCAAGGAGATTATAAGATTTCCCCCCTTCTTTGGATTTTTCAAAATATTAAACAGTTATCAATCTATCTACGTGGAATTCGTTAATCTGTGTTCCTACACTGAGCAAAGTCCAAATGACTGTTTTTAATTTTCTGTTGTATCCTTTTGTTAATGTTTGTTGATGCCAAATCACCCCTGAAGTATAAAGATATTTGCATGCATTTTGAATGATTGTATTAAAATTTATTTAGTCTTGACTACTACCATCTTAACTATCTGTAAGTAGACATCCAATATTAAAGCGACAACATTTGCAAAGATTGTTGCTTACAAAACCAAACTACTAGAAGAACAAAATCAATGTTTCATAAAACAAAGGTAGCCCATAGAAGTTGGATTTAAAGTTAATTGCACTTGCAGTAAATGTTTTGAAGTCCATTTGCCCTAATTTAGTGTTTAATTTAAATCTCAGCAATTTCATTAGGACTTTTCCAAAGTTTCCTAAGTCTTGATCTAGTTCAATGAGTTTAATACATGGGGGACCTATTATATTATGGAGGCTAAACTCCCAATTCTCTTTGACTTAATACACGTATTCAGAATATACATACTACACTCTCTACAAGCTGCACTTCTTCAAAATAAAAGTACGTTTATCAAAATTACTTTGATACAGATTGATATGATTTGAATGAATATTCTATCTTGTGAGAAATAAATAAGTGGAGTGGGTTTTTTCCCCCTCCCCTCCAAGATATTTTGGTTCATTACAAGCTTTAAATGGAAAATAGGCATGGCAATCACAAAAATATAAAGCAATTAAAAACAGTTCTAACTTGAGTTGTTCAAATAAAAAAAATAAAAAATAGAAACAAAAGTAATAGAAAATGAACATATTGTGTTCCTTAAATAACCAGATGTTCTTTTCTTCCTGAAGGCAGTCAAGCCTATGAATAAAAGGTTGTTTTAAGTTAACTGTGAATTTTGCAAATCTGTTTTACCCCATAGCAAATAAAATTCTAACACAGCAACAGAAGCAGAATAATTTCATCTGTGTATGTGGCTATGGTTGTTCTAACCTTATCACTATGACTTAATATGAATCTCAACAGTATTAATAGACTATTTCCATTTCAGAAGATATGCAAAGAATTATCAACTACCTTTGATCAGAATGCTCATAGCACTTGTCTGAAGAATTTATTCCAAAAGAAAGTTTAATGAATCTCTGAGCAGTGATATGACTTTAACTAGAAGTAAAACAGTGTGATGTATGATAATTCCAGAAAGAGACTTGGAGCTTTATATCCTTTTATTTTTTTCTAAATCTATTTAGGGCCAATGAATAGATTTAAGGCCATTTAATAGATCACTTTGAGAAATGTGTAGCAGACAAAATCCTGGATGAATCATTTGGAATAAAGTTCCCATATATGCAGCAAACTTCGTTGCATCCTTATTTATATATTGATGGACCATGAACGTGGTCCCATCAAGTTCTTTCTAGGAAACACACAGGTTAAAGATTACCCTTTTTGATGTTCTGATATTTTCCATCTCTTTCAAGTGTTTTTATAAATATTGGCAGAGCCAGACCATGTGTCACCCTGGTAAGAAGCTTGTTGCTGGCAGGTAGGCCTTGTTTTGTAAGAAAGTGGTCTCAAATATTTCCAGCTTTGTGGACCGTTGAGGGGAAGACGGGATAGTTCTGTGTAAGTGGTGGGTGCACGTGCACACAGCTCCATTTGCTCAAGCGGTTGGCACTTACACAAATGGACTACGCACACAAGTAGAGCTGTGGGCACTCACCCGCCACTTTTGCAGTCCGGTTCTGAATGAGCTGCTGCCCAGTAATGTGCCAGGGGTTGGGGACCCCTGCTATAAGAGCTAGAGTCATTTTGTTCTACATATCCAGCAAAGCAGCCATGTCCCACTTTCTCAGAAAATGTGCCCCACCTGCTATAGATGGACTCTTCAAGAGGGGAAAGAATGAAAGCCCAAGCTCTATAATGAGCTATAATGCCCAATAATGCCTGTAGTGCTGTAAATTCTAAGTTGGCTGGGCATCTATGCCATGCCCATAATCAATTTTGGAAGAACTTCATGAACTTATATTCTGTAATGGAACAAGTCATTCCTCAATAATCAACAAGCTATTGGGATTGCATAAACCATTCATGGGAAAGAAAGATCAGCCCGGGCCTAGAGAGCTATTGGTTTTGGACTTGACAAGTCACATGGAATACCTGAATTTCTATCTTGCCCATGCTCCCAGATTCTACCCAGTGTTGGATCTTACATAGCTTCGAACCCATGAGCCTCAAATTATTTGATTGAATGATAAGTTTTAGTTTCCTTTGTAAAGGGCACGTTTTGATTTCTATTAAAAAATCCTAATAGCAGAGGAAGAAGGGGAAGTTCTAAAGTATTACCTCCCAAAATATGCTGTTTTCTGCTATGTGTTTAGCAAATAAATGATTATAATGATATATAGGAATTATCTTGGGAGGTAGAGAGAAGAGGTGCAGCCAAAGGAATGGTCAGATAAAAGGAACTTTAGTCTGCAGCATGGATATGGATGGAACAAATATGTCAGAAGAAATCTTCCTTAGTTTCTTCGGATGGGGGAGATGGGGGGAACATGTACTTTCAGACTTGCAAGATTCTGTTTTATTTTACTTCATTTAAGCATTATTCTGAGTTGGGTGGTACTGTTATTTGTTATTCATTCATCTATCTATACTACTAAAGCTGTCTTTGTGATCTTTAACTGGGCAAAACAATGTATCATAGAACACTAAATTGTGAACCATGGTATCTCAAAAGGACTTACAGAATGTGTTCCAAATCCAGGACCCATTACTTTTGAAAGAATAAAATGTGGGGAAATTGTGGCAATGCAACTGGGCCGCTGCTGTGATCATGAGGACTCTACACATTTCAATATTCTATGACAGTTTCCCAGCTAGTCTCACAGTCCCTCACTTACTCCCTTATCCTGCAACAGCCACTTATCTGCCTACTGGAAAGGGAAAAAAAAGGAAGGGAGAAAAAAAGAAAGAAGTAATAGGAGGAAGGCAACCTTTCCCCTCCTAGCCCTTGTCACCCCTGCCCTCTTTCAACCTATGATGTTCCCCATGCCCCTCAAACTTGCAGCTTCCTTCTACATGCTTTCCCAACCTGCACTTCTCCACACCTGCCTTTCCCCATTCATGCAGCATTTCTTGCACATCTCTATATACCCTGCCATCTCCTGCACATATTCCCTGACCTGCAAAACACCTCATACACACTCTCAAATACCTTTAGGCACCCTTTTGACCAACACCATTACCTAATTGCCCAACTAGACCTGTGATCTTTATGCACTCTTCTTGACCCATACCAGTCCACCATGCTCCCTTTCCAATCTGCACAGCAAATCTCACACATCCTTGGGCATCCTTCCCAAACTACACCAGTCACTCTTGCATTTCTTCAACATGAAGCATCTCTGGTGTACATCACTTGAATCTCTCAAGTGACCCACCTTGAACCTTCTTACTCCTTATCATAAATTCCTATCTCAACAATTGAAAAAAAGATAAATTAAGGGACATCTAAGCCAGGATTAAATAGTATCCTGAAAATGATCTCAGTATGCCCCTCCAAGTTCGCTCCACTCTAGATATCAATCAGCAAGGACCAGTTTTAAAAACAGCAAATTTTTCTTTTTTGAACCTCCAACTGATTCCTTAATTGATGTTTTGTAGACTTGGAAAAATATTTCTATGTCTTTTTGTCCTAAAAACCTGTCACTGGGACTTTTGAACTTTTTCTGTATTATCTATTAATAGAAAATATTTATTTTCAGAAGTGGATTAACTCTTAAGAATCTTGGATACATTTGCAATAATGGTTATCTTCAAGAATAGATCTTAAAGTATTATTACCCTTTTCCTGAATCCTCACCAGATAAAATGGTGGACTAATTGTACATGTTTCAAAAAGATATCATCATTCTGTTTATGTTGCATTAGCATTTTAATAATCATTATTCAAGTCCTGTTACAGCAAACTAAAATTTAATATATTAATTATTTGACTGAATGATTTTGGGGAGAAAAAATGAGGGGCATGTGTGTATATATATGTATATATTTATATATAGCATTTTTATTTATGCCTAATATTTCATCCTGAACGTTTTGATAAGTGGAGAAAAAGGTTGGATGCACCATCTAGTGGTTGTGCTAGTTTGTTAAATTTTGTTAAGATAGATATACTGCAACTTGAAATTGAATAATTCTGTTTCTGATATTTAATGCATGTATTTAAAAAGTCAGTATTTTTAATTTAAATTTTATTGGATAGAAATATATCGGTCACATTTTAAAATGTTTTAATTATGCACTCTGACAATTCTCTCCCCCACCCCTCTCTAGAGAAATCCCAGACCTATAGCTCACCAATTCCAACAGAATTTGGATTACTACAAAGCACGTGGAGCTGACTTAATGAATAAAACTCGGTAATCATGTTCGTATGTTATCTGTAAAGGTGCTCTGCCAATAATTACTGTAAATATTTGTAAATATATTTTATGTATATTAGGAGCCAATAATATTAAAAATAGTAGCTAATTATTCAGTGATGATATGAAAATATTAGAATAATTTCTCAGTCTTAGAAAACTGAGTTGACACAAGGAAGACCTTGCCTATTTTCACACATATATTGCTCTAAAATCTATCGAAGTAGACTTGATAGAGGCTATTCCATAGCTAAAGCTCATCAAGAAGGCAATTTTATTTTCCATAGCCAATTGTAAAGAGCATTCAAATTAATATGGAAAACTCCTATTCAGTTATTTGAGACTCAAGGGACTATGTGAATTATTGAATGTTGGTAGTGATGCTTAGACATGGTTTATAAGAAAATACTTAGCCACTAAAATTTTAAGACTGGCTGTATTGCATAGTTGATTTTTTTACCCCAGTTATTCTGTTACTTCACACATAATTAAATTGTGTCTTTCCTTGGCCTGTAAATAATCACAACATCTACAAGACAAGGATTCAATGATATAAATCGTCAGCAAGTTAATTGCTTTTGTACCTAGAGAAATTAGAATTTGGCACATTTACCTGGAGAGAAACTGTTTTAAAAACAAAATTTGGTATATTGCCATCAACAGATCTATAGGGCAGATGTGCTCATATTTCATATAAACAGTACATTTGAACTTGTGGATCATGTACAGTTGAAAATGTTTTCATGTGTTTTATTTCATAATTTTATAGAGATACAGTTTAAGGATGCTGTTCAAATTTTGTTGAATTGTCTGTGACATTTAGATCTGTTTATTCTTTTGCACATTTATTATAATAGTGGGAAACTGATATATTTTTATGTAATTTAATATCAGAGGGGAGATGGCAGCAACTTAAGCTACATGTTAGTGAAGTATAACTTACTTTTAATAGGATCTAAAACAGTGGTTCTCAACCTGTGGGTCGGGACCCCATTTGGGGTCAAGCAACCATTTCACGGGGGTCGCCAAACAACGCAGTCTGCCATTTTTTTCCCTTTTCCCTAGCTGTCCTACTCCCTCTTATTGGTGGCCACACCCACTTGGGGGTCACCACAACATGGGGAACTGTTTTATGGGGTCACGGCATTCGAAAGGTTAAGAACCACTGATCTAAAAGATAATAAGATATTCTATTTATTAACAGTGAATAAGGATAGTCTTTGGCTGTAAAAATGAACTTAGCTATAAAGATGACTTGCTTTATACAACTTGTGTAATATTACTCAATTATAGCTACTATTTGAAGTTATTGTTGAAATGGGTCTTTTTCATCTGAAATTGGAGCATCTAACTCACTAGAAATCTATACTACTATAAGAAAAAGATAAAAGAGAAACCCACTAAGTGTTACAAATTCATGGACTACATTTATATTACTCTGATCTCCAAGAATTTGTGCAGATTTTAAAAAAATTCACAGTATTATAGCAGTTTTTCTTTTCTAGTGTTTGTATGCAGAAAGAGATGTCCTTGAATCAACTTTGTAAAACAAAACATTTCATTTGCACACACTGCAGAAGCTGAATCATTGCACAGCTTTGTTTTAAAAATATCCCATTGATATCCAAGGTCAATTATTCCTATTATGATTAACAAAATAGTTTTATTCAGGTACTGCATTCATGTATCCTTGACATTTAAACAATACCTTGCTTTTAAATATATTTCTTTATAACCATTAGATAATCAACCTTTATTTTTTGATCAGTGTTGTCCCTTTTTCTGATATTTTTCTATCTTTTCACCATGATGGTAAAGAAATAAAGTCTGACTCTTGTATTATAGTCTTAATCATCTTGCATTTATGTATCAGAACATTCAAAACTAGCATAAAGTTGAACTTCATTTATTAAAGTATCTATATCATGAACCTTGTTAAATTTGTAACAGCAATTTAGGATGGTTGCTATTTATGTCAAGGGCATTGCAAGTTAAGAGTATGTATACAAAAAAGTTAATGAACCACCAAAATTATTGCGCAAGAGAACAAGGGTCATTATGAACAAATTACCTCTAATTGTAATGATGTACAGTCAGCTTATAAAACAATGTGAATACTTTCCCCTAACATCCCTCTTTATTCAGAGGAAGACAGAGATTGAGAGACCTGAAGATTGTTTTAGGGCATAAACTGGAGATAGCCAATGTGAGATTTTCCAGATATTGAGTGTTAATGGCAACAAGAAATGATGAAAACAATAATAATAATAGAGTTGGAAGGGACCTTGGAGGTCTTCTAGTCCAACCCCCTGCTCAGGCAGGAAACCCTATACCATTTCAGACAAATGGTTGTCCAGTGTCTTTTAAAACTTCCATTATTGGAGCATTCGCAACTTCTGGAGGCAGGTTGTTCCACTGATTAATTGTTCTAACTGTCAGGAAATTTCTCCTTAGTTCTAGGTTGCTTCTCTCCTTGATTAGTTTCCATCCATTGCTTCTTGTCTTCAGGTGCTTTGGAGAATAGCTTGACTCCCTATTCTTTGTGGCATATTGGACACTGCTATCATGTCACCCCTAGACCTTCTCTTCATTAAACTAGACATACCCAATTCCTGCAACTGTTATTCATATATTTTAGCCTCCAGTCCTCTAATCATCTTTGTTGCTCTTCTCTGCACTCTTTCTAGAGTCTCAACATCTTTTTTACATTGTGGTGACCAAAACTGGATGCAGTATTCCAAATGTGGCCTTATCAAGGCGTTATAAAGTGGTATTAACACTTCATGTGATCTTGATTCTATCCCTCTGTTAATGCAGCCTAACACTGTGTTGGCTTTTTTTGGTAGCTGCAGCACACTGCTTGCTCATATTTAAGTGATTGTCTACTAGGACTCCGAGATGCCTCTTACAGTTACTACTATTGAACAAGATACCACCTATACTGTACCTGTGCATTTAGCTTTTCTAGCCTAAATGTAGAACCTTACTTTTTTTACCACTGAATTTCATTTTGTTAGATAACGCCCAATGTTCTAATCTGTCAAGATCCTTCTGTATCTTAAGCCTATCTTTTGAAATGTTAATTATTCCTGCCAGCTTGATGTCGTCTGCAAATTTGATGGGTTCCCCATCTATCCCCTCATCCAAATCATTGATGAAGATGTTGAAGAGCACTGAGCCCAGAACAGAGCAATAGAATAGAATAGAATAGAATAGAATAGAATAGAATAGAATAGAATAGAATAGAATAGAATAGAACCTTGCAGATGAGATCAATTCCCACCTTCTGACCTTTGGCAAGATCCTTAAGATTTGGTTCTGCCAGATGGCTTGGGGGCCCAACAGGGGAGTATCATTTTGGAAATGATTGATTTATTAACCTGCCTCCCCCCACAAAAAATCTGGCTCCCTCCTTCCCCATCTTGTAATTATGATTTTACTTTGATTGTTCTTTCATTTTGTGTTTGAAATATTTCTCTCTGGCGGTTTTAATGTTTGCATGTTGTAAATTGCTCAGAGTCACTTTGAAACAAGATGGGTAGCAAATTGAATGAATGAATGAATGAATGAATGAATGAATGAATGGTCTTGGTTGTAAAATATTCCTAAGACAGACAAGTTTATTTTTTCTAGTAAATAAAACTGTTCCTATGGAACAAAATTCACGTGACTTTCAAAGGTTTTCAGAGGATGAAACAATCTACTTCCCTAGAAATAACTAGTATTAAAGTAGAATAATATTGCATTATTATACTTTCTAGATTCATTGTAATATTTTTGTGGGGTGAGAGGGATCTTTAATTACAACAAATTCATTTTGAAATTTTCCAATTAGTTTGGTAGTGTCAGTTAAACATGATAGCAGCAGTATGTATGTTTTCTTGTTTTCTTTTTCAGTATCAATGCAAAGGTTGCTCCTCTGAACATAAATAAAGTTTCCAGTAGCTTATTGAATTTTGGCCGCAAGCTGATATCCCCAGCAATGACTTCTAGCAGTGCAACTCTTCCAGTTGCAGGTAGCAGTGGCAATATTTCTTCTGTTGTCATGCCCACAAGAAGCACAGTAGAACTCCCTTCATCTCAGCAGCAAAGAATAATGAAATCTGAAAGTGTGCCAGTTCAGCTAAGCAAAGGTAAAAATGTTCCATTTCTGTTTTTGAAAACCAAATCCTGTCATAAACTAAGATAGAGCTTTCAGCATAATATAAGATGGTGAGATGAAATCTGCATTTCAACTTGAATAGCACTCATCTTTGCTTGCCACCATATCCTGTCTGATATAATTTATTTGCCAGATTTTCCAATTGTTTCCGAATTTCAGTTTCATTGTTTGCTTTAGTTCCCTTCTCATTACATATTTATTTGACTATGTCCAACTTTTGTTGTTTGAAAATACTGAACGTATGATACATCTTAGGTATGAATTCATTTAGTAAATCAGGCATCCGGCAAATTACTTTTCAAATTTTATTTTTTAATATTGCTTGGTAATTGAAAACAGAAAATGAGAATCAGTTTACTATAAATCAAATGACAGCATTAAACAGAATTTTATTTCATGTTTTGTGAAAATGCTCTGAATTCCAAATTCCCTCCCAGTTAAAAATGAAAATGATAATCTACTAACTGCCTTTAAGACTATTTATTTGGTGTGCTCTTCTAATAACTACATAAATCTGCTTCTGTGTACGTTTAATCAGTGGAAATGCATGCCCGTATATTATTGCAAAAGTATATTACATTGTGATTTTATCATTTCCTAATATATAATATATTTGCAGCCAAAATAAATAAATGCAGCCACCTTATTGTCATAGCTATTTTGGATATAATTTTTATTAAGAATTTTAATTACAGTACTAAAAACTAATACAAATTAATGCTAGGAAAAGAGGAAAGAAGGAAAGAAAGAATAAAAAGTGCAGGAAGAAAAAAGAAAAAAAGAAAATATAATTTTAGAGAGAGGGAAAGATATGACTTCTAGCCTTCATGACAAATATAAATAAATTTAACATTTCTTTACTAAATTGATATCTCTTGATTCCTTATCCCACCCTTAATTATCTAAACAAGTCCATAAACATCCACTTTCCAATCGTAGTGTCAGTAAAAAGTCCATAAAGTAGTGCCAAAAATTCCAGAAATGACTCAATTTAACTTTAGTCAAATAGACCAATTTCATATTCCTTCCTTTTACTTCTAACAATTTTAATTTGTTAAGCCAGATATTGTCATAGATTTGGTTCCTCTTCAATTCTTCTTTATCCCATGACACAGATTTCTTCAAGACTTTAACATGCCTCTTTTACAGATATAATAAAAAAATATTTTCCAAGTCATTTTCCCTATTTATCATTTGCATTTTCTTTTTAATTTTTAAAACTTCAGCCAGTTTCTTTTGTACATCCAATATAATATCCTTTTCCAAATCATTCTTGTTGCCTGTTATTTGCAGTTTCATATTTCGTACTTTCTGTCTTGTCATATAAAATTTCTTGCACATTTGTCATTCCTTCATTTACATCTTTCAGACATAAGTCTTTCCATAGAAGCAGACATCATTACTCAGTCAATACCGTAGTAATTAATTTCTGGCCTTATTCTTCAGAGATATTTAATATTTCTGCTGTTATAACATTTTGTATCATTTTGTAAGTCTGAATATTAATTGACATTAAGAACAGAGTTGTATTTTTTCTTCAGCATAAAATCTTTAGTCCCCTTTAGAGTCAAGTTCTTAAAATTATCACTTATCTTTTCTTATCTTTTCAATAGCCAGGATAGCCAAAATAAGTCTATTTCCCATGACAAGTTGATTATTTTTATAAATTCCAATATCTTATAATAAATGTCAATATTCCAGATTTATATGGACCCTTAATCCATTTATACTTAGATAAAATCTTATTTAGCTTTTTGCTTTTATTTCATTTTTTTTAAGTGCTTCAGCTTATAATTATTTTTTCTTTTGTTTAGACTTGAAGATAAACTCTCCCAATGAAGACTTTTTAAACTTGTCATTCTAAAGATCACTAATAGTTTTAAAAGGTTTAATAAGGAATTTCCAAAAATTAGAAAGAAGTGTGCGAACTTAGTGCCTTTCAAAAGGCTCTGCTGCAGTTATGAGCCAGATGGCTGATCCCAGTGCTCACACCCACAGAAAACCACTGTCCTATGATTTCTTTGTAAGGAGCATCTGGAACGCATTAAGGCAATCTTCCCTCCTTTCCTTAACTCCTTAACAAACAGTCTACTCACTGTTTCCTTAGTTTTTACCATGATTGTCAGCTCTGCTTTCGCATAGCTATCTTCAACTCGCTCTATCTTCCCTGGAAATCTTATAACATATTTGCCTAACTGTATAGAAATTAGTCTGTTTATAATCAATAAGACTAAAATTGTAGAAAAAGTTGTCTAGGTAATCAAATCCACCCATTCTGTGTAGCCTCAACAAATGTCTATCCAGATTCTGTTTGTACAGCCAATGAAGAAGAGTTCAATAGCTCTATGGATGATTAGTCCTACTATTGTAATATTATATAACATTCTGTTGGATTAAGTTACAGTAAATGTGAAACATAACAAATAAATAAAAAGAATAAACAATCAGAATGGGAGGATAAAAAGTCAAGTGGTGGTTGAGCATGTGCAATCAAATTTTGTATGCTGCTTTGTATTACAAAGGAACAGTGTTTCAATTACGTCAGAACCATTACCTTAACATTTCTACTTCCCCCACTGCACAGATATTCATTTTACATTACATTTCCATTGCTTGTATCAAGCTCTAGCTACAAATGAAGGAATATGATTAGTATTCTATCATTCATAGGACTGAAATTTTTCCAATTCCATTTATGAGATATATATTTTATTTCTCTGATAGCTTGTTCAAATGGGGTAAAAAATGGCAAAATCAAGTGACTGCACAGTTCATATTTATTCTGAGATAATTATTTCTTATTCAAGCAGAATACATCTCACTGTCAACCAAGTTGACAACAATCCTTACCTTTATTTGAGTACTTTCAAAACATTTTCTCACAAGTCTTAAAAAACAGTTATACTTTTGTCATGGTGATCCTTCCTTTTGTCCTCATTTATATAAGGTTAAATAAACTTCACCATCTCCTGGAAAACAGAGTAGGGTTTCCACTAGTATGTTGGATATGAGTTTTCATAAGCAAATCCATAACATTTACTTTGTTTAAAATATAATTTGATTTCTAGACTTGTATTTTATTTTTAATTTCAGCTTAGCATCATAAAATAATTAGAACTTTTTATTTATTGTGAATAGTCTGTAAACCAGGTTATTAAAACTGAACATAACATTTCCTTATCCACCAAAACTCCATGGATCAATGACTTAAAATATTATATTTAAAAAAAATGATGCAAAATTAAATGCTGTATGATATGTTTGTTGTTATACTTTATATAATAGAACTCAGCATAATATTTTGAAATTTTTCTGTAATGGGCCTAGCTTAACTGTATATACATAAAACTATTTTTGGGAGGGTACATCTGAAAGTATTCCTGGTGATGTAAAGGCATTTGTAGAAAACCATGCTACTCTGCTTTTGGAGTTACTTATTCTTAGACCACTAGCATTTGAATGATCACTATCAAGTTTCTAAACTCCATTGGAATGTTGCTATTAATAGCATTATGTCAAAATTACTTATAAAATACAGGAAGAGCCAAAGGCAATATATGTATAATACATGCATAGAACTAAGCAGAAAATTAGGGTATTGGAATTTGGAAAATTTGACCATTTGTTCTACTGTAAAGATTTCTTTAACTTTATTTAATTACTAGGAGAAGTAGTTAAAGGCAGTGATGTTCCAATATCAGTTCCTGTCCAGAATCTAAGTAACTTCCACGGAACAGTTACTACAGTAACATATGGTACGTTTTTCCTATAATATTGTTATTACTTGATAGCCCAAATTTGGTACAGGTGGTTTGAAATTTTTAAATATGTACTATATTTCACAGATCCACTAAGTGGCACTGTTGTTTAGAGAAAAAAATTGCATCTTTCTTGCATAAGAACCCAGAGGCTTTTTAAGAAAATAGGAGTAAATATAATCTTATAGTAATAAAACCAAAATCTCTTAAAAATTAAATAAATAAAAATATTGTACATTTTAAAAGTAGAGAAATTGAATAAATTATAAATGTGGAACCTTGTTGGTTATTATCTCATAAACACTTAAGTGAAAAGCCACATCTTCAATAATTGAGAAAGCTCTTATCTGGGCCACAACATGCAGGTAATTGCAATGTACAAGTTCCATGGTATTTAGGGAAGTGATTTTTAAAAAATACTTAAGTCTTCAGCCATTTAGGACTTTATAAACTAATATCACCACTTAATATTGGATGGGATCATTCTCAAACAACCAGCTCAATTTTTGGGACTGAAGTGATATCCCATTTAGCTCTCCCATTTAAGATTTATGCAGCTTTTTTCTAACCTGCATTCTTTAAAGTATATTTTCTCTGATTAGGAGTCCAAAAATAGAGCCACTAGAGGTTGAAAAAACATTCCAGAAGAAGGCAATAGCAAATCATTTCTCTGTACTACTAAGAAATATATAAATATGTGTATGTGAAATCACAAGAATTGAACTCAAAATTGCACTGACTTATTGTTCCTATCCTTGATATATTGCTAAGTTCTGCTGTTTTTGCTTATAGCAAATCTCTACCCTTTCATGTGAAATTCCCTTCTTTCACATACAAAAATATGTGAATTATTATTAAAGGGTCATTCTGTTGAGCAAAATGTACCCCCTTGATTTAAGAGATTATTTCCATGTAACAACATTCTTTGGTAGCTAAATATTCCATTAAACAGTCCAATTGCCTTTTGAAGAAAAAAGCATCTTTGAGACAAAACCACAGGGGTTTCTTCTGACAGTCTCTGAGAATCTGACAGGATGGATGGATGGATGGATGGATGGATGGATGGATGGATGGATGGATGGATGGATGGATGGACAGATAGACGGATAGACAGACAGGCAAGCAGGCAGATAGATAGGCAGGCAGACAGGTAGGCAGACAGGCAGGCAGATGCATGCACACACATACACACACGCAGGCATACACATACTTATATGTACCTACATAATATATATATTGACTGGGTTTGCTTAGTGACAGTATGTTCTTATGTACAAGATATGTTTTGTTGCTCACTTTGTGACTAAATATGTGTTGCAAATAGTTTTACATAGTCCCGCATGTCCCTTGCAGTAGCACTTTGTATTATATCAATAAATAAATTCATGATATGCAAATCTGCTTTTGAAAAATCACCATTCAGTTACTGAGAAGCATGATGATGATGATTTCTGGCTCCTCTCTATTTGCTTTTCAGGGCAAAGTACAAAAAATGGGAGTCCTTCTCCAAGCATTGAAAGTTTTTCTGGAGGACGTGAATCCACTGAATCTCCTCCTTTGTCTGCAACCAAGAAGGAATCTTTTTTTAGTACAATTTCCCATTCACGTTCTCATAGCAGAAATATGAGCAAAAAAGAATCCGTAAGTGTTTCTTGGGAGATACATTTCACTAATTCAAGTTATCTTATTTATATTGGTTCACATTTTTACTTCAGATTTACATAGATAAAAATAACTTATAAAATAACTTATAATAAAATTATAATAAAATAACAGAAACCAAACCATAACTTTTGTAAAATCTTAATACATTTGTTACATTTTCAGAAGTATAAAATTCTTATTCCATTTAAATAAAGACAGCTTCATTTTTCCTTGGAATATCTTAGAAGACAACCTGGAAAGCAACTGGCAGCAGATGTAGCTTTTAAGATAGGGGTAGAGGCCACCCATGCTTTAACATTCTAAGCCAGCAATATTTCTCAACAATCCCCAGAGATCACTCCACAAAGAATACATACACTGATATGATACTATTTTAATGTTATCAGATTATATCATTAAAATGATATCATCTTCATTTTAATAATTCCTTCAGTATGCAGAAAGGTAATTCTGTCACCTGAGTTCAAACTGAATTTCAAGTGTAGATAGGTAAATTTAGTAATGAAACTAGACTTATTTGATCAAATATGGCATAATTTGCTGTAAATTTATTTTGGAGATAAATACTCTTGAAATTTTCATTGCCACCATTCCTAAATAGTAAGAGGATTTGAGTTTAAATTAATGCTATCACTTCTCCAGTCGGTTATCAAGCCTTTTCCTAGCATAATATCTCATTACATGCAGTTTCTCATTTAGTCAGAGATTAAGTTGATTATGAACAATTAAACAATTAAAATTTAACAATGGCATGGTATGACCAGTTAGTATACTTTTTATCTTTACAATAAAACTCTTTATATAATTACAGAATTATTATTCTGTCACAAGAATTTCCAGAGTCTGAATTTTCTTTTGCTTTACTTTTTTCATTTCATTTCATTTCCCTCTCCTTTTTTTAGTTCTCACTATTGAGTATGTTTCTTTGTTCTCTATCCCCATCCACACACACATATCAAGTTTGTTTAGCTTTTAGCTTTCTAAATTTCTTATAAAAATGTAATCAGTTAGCCTGTTGTATGTTGTGGCTAATTTTTTTAAAAAAATATTCTAAGATGAAGATGAGAAAGATAATAGCAATACAGCCTGCTACATGGGTAAATATCTTTAGGCATAAGACAGTGCTGTGGGAGTTAGGTGTTTAACAGAGTGATAGCATGGGTGGAAATCTGCTTTTGTGTCTAGGCAGATTGTTTTGGCATTGCAGTGCCTATAGCAGACATGTCAAACTCAAGGCCTGCGATCCAGATCTAGGCCGTGATGTGTTTAGATGTGGACCGCAAGCACACTAGTAGGTGGAGTATGTAGTAGTGGGCATATGAGCTGAAGTGGCAGCAATGCCAGAGAGGCCTAGGAGAGAAAGTCAGCTGGAGCTGCAGTTTTTCTGGGACTCTGCTGAAGCCCCAGTGTGCATGGCTCCAGCTTATCAGGGCTTCTGACAGCCTCTGGGGTAGCCGGTAACCAGCAGCCACAGGCAGTCTTCGGCAAAAAGTCAGCTAGAGCTGTGGGGCTGTCAGGACTTGATGGGGACCCCAGAATCAGCACATGCAACTCCAACTGATAAGTGCTGCGTAAAAAGGCCATCCAGGCAGTGAGTGAACACATGGGGAAAGAGAGGAGAGGATATAAAAGGGGTTTTGGCAGGAAGGAGGAGGGAGAGGAGATGCTTTTGTGGGGGAAGCCTGAGGGAGAGAAAGGGATAGGAGAGGAGGAACTTTTGTGGGACAAGCCTGTGGGAGAGAAAAGGATAGGATAGGAGAGGCTTCTGCAGGACAAGCCTGAAAGAGAGAGTTTGAATAGAAGAGAGGCAAGCAGAGGAATCAGTGAAGGAGCTGTAGAAGAAGAGCCCACCAGGCAGTGCAAGAGAGAGGAAAGAAGAAGAACTGACCAGTCACTTGAATACCATCCTATTATATGACCATCTGCTGGAAAAGACTGACCACCACTCCTTCACATGACTCACCTGCTGGCCCTTTGAGGGCTACCATAATGGTGATGGGCCATCAACAAAATTGAGTTTAACATCCCTGCCCTATAGTGATTCCTTAGGGGAGAAGTCGAAACAGTTTATTCCAGGATGTGATGGGTCTGTAGATATTTTATCAGCCTTCTCTCTGGCTTGTACAGTATAAAGGTCCTCAGTGAAAGGCAGGCTGGTTACAATTGTTTTTTTCTTCAATCTATACCTTCCTGTTTGGTTGCTGTGCCAGACCAGAGTTATAGAGGTACAAATTGACAGACTCAATAATTCCTCTGTAGAACTGTATCAAGCAGATCCTTGAACTATATCAGCAGAATCTTTGCATGTGCTTGCTTGATAATCTCTTGAAGAAATAGTTTCATTTGGAGATGAACCAAAGGTGCTTTTGCAAAAGGCAAAGATTTTCTTTGTTTTTGCTTGAAAATATTTTCCTTCGCATCCAAGAAGCTTCTTCAGTTCTGGAAGATGTTGGAGCTGAAAGTAATGTTTCTCTCAAAGTGAAGGGAAAGGGGATTTCAATATTTTTCCTCTCTTTCAGATCCACCATATTTTATTCATTAGTAGTTTTCATTCTGTCAGAACAGACCACTGTTCTGTTTTCTCTGCCTGGTTTTCTACTTTTTTAACAGCACTTACAAAATGAGTTCCTTCTACTGCCTCATCTGAAGCTTTTACTGATGCCATCTTAGCCATTTCAGTGTTTTCTTAATCGTTTCTTCTAAACACTTATTTTTGTATAGTGTCTTTCTGCAGCCTCTTCTGGTATTAACATTGCCTCTTCAATGCTATATCAACTACTGCTCTGTTAACTGCAGTGTTAACAAATCTTCTGCTTCCTCTGGCTACCTCTCAGACACAACCCTTGCTGTGGGAAAGTATGAATGACATAGGTAATTTCCAAATGAATTTATTGTTACCTTTGTTTAGTATAAGATCCAGGATTTGATTTATTGTTTTTTAATCCAACCTTTATTATCTTATAAGTAACTAAAGGCAGTGAAGATAATATACTGCTTTCTTCTCCTGTTTTTCCCTCAACAACCCTGTGAGATGGATTGGACTCAGAAAGTCACCCAGTTAGGTTTCATGCCTAAAACAAGACTAGGACTCACAGGCTCCTATTTTCTAGGCCAACTTCTCCCTATAACAAATTATATTTACTGATAGTGTGTCTCAAATAGCTTTTTTTATTCTCTCCATTTCATTTATACTCTGACATCTGGTAAATTAAAATATTTATTTCTTAGACTTTTTACCATTACGTAATAGATAAGGGAAATGATTTTTAATCCACCAATTTTGAATTTACAAGAGACATGGAGGAACCTGAATCTACCATTCGGAAACATTTCTCATTACCATTAGTCATGCCACCTATTAAGTTATCCTTTAATTTATCACATTTCATTATTAAAAATCCACATTAGTGCATTTCTTTTTTAACTTCCTTGTGGTTTTGATACTCCCCTGATATATTAGTGCCACATTTTTTGCCACACTTACAATAGTTTACATTTTTAATTCTTTTCCTGTAAATGTTCTGTGGTATACTAGCTTTTCAGAGTGTTTTGTTTTTGTCATTGATCTGAAAAAAGATCTGCTCTGTGCAATACCAATGAATCACAGCTGCTCAAATTACTGTATCTGGCCCTTTATCTTTTAGTTTTATCTTTAACTCAAGAAATAAATGAGAATAAAATTTAAGGAAACATTTTCATATTATCTTGATTATGGTGCATGTACTCCTATTTTTACCCAAGGAATACTATGAAGTTGTTGGAAAAATATTATAGATATGTGGGATTCTTAGTAAACTCAAGTCTATTAATAGGTAAGATATCTACAGTTAATGTAATAACACTGAATCATGCCTATAAATATAACCACAAATTGCAATCTGGTCCTTCTTTTGTTTCTATAAAGTGCAAAGCATGGCTTGACTGATCCAGTAAATACACAGAGTAGAGTCATAATTATCATTATAGGTATAAACTATGTGGTTGCTGTAAATTTTCTTCATTCAGTGAATGTCAGAAATCAGAAATGATCTAAACTATTGTGATAGAAAAACTTATTATTTGTCTGTAATATCTGACTAGTGGTTTTCAAAATTTGTAATGTTATATAAGACAACAGCTAGATGAGGAAGAGTTTCTAGTTTGCGTTTTGTATATACTGAATTATTTTGGTCTTAATAATAAGATTTGGCCAGGAATGAAATATCCCTTTCTAGATAAGAACTAATGGTGAAAAGCTGCCCAAAATAAGATTATTGGCAAAGGTTCTTGTCCATAGCTATGAGTACTATTGGAACAGAGACTCCTGGGATTTGCGCATTTGGATTCCTATAATACTGGGGTGTCAAACTCAATTTCACTGAGGGCCACATCAGGGTTGTGGTTGACCTTGGGGGGGCCGGGTGGGTGTGGTTGGGGTGGGTGTGGCCAGCTCGACATCGCTTGTGTTGGGGGCACTTGTGTGGTCTGGGCAGGACTATGGGGGATCCAGCCTGGTCGAGCTCCCAGGGCACCAGGACCCCACAGCCCAGCTCAGCCCAGCCCTGCTGTCCCAAGGAGGTGTCCTGCTCCACTTACCTCCTCCTCCTGGAAGCTGCTGCTGCTCTTCTTGCTCTCCTTGGCCAAGTTGCTCATGATGTGTGTGGGAAGGCAAAATATGTGGGTCAGAGGGAGGGCCACTCCTCTCCATGTGAGGAAACCTGGCTTTGTAACTAAAGTATCCTCAGCAATAGGATGGGAGACCACCAGGAGAGATCAGGAGGTGGAGACAAGGGAATGGCAAAGGGGCAACAAGGCTGCTGGTGGCCAAATGCTAAGGCAGCACTTCCCTCAGACCTTCTCTCTCTTTCTCTCTCATTGTAATCCCTTCCTTCCTTCCTTCTTCCCTTTTCTTCTTTTTCCTTTCCTCTTTCTTTTTTTCTTTGTCTTTCCTCTCTCCCTCTCTCCTTTCCTGTCCCTTCTTGGATGCTCAAATGCAA